AGGTTGCAATTCAGGGCAGGGTTGGTGGCCCTGAAATTGCATTTGGGCTCTGATGTTAAGAGGAAAGTTGTAAAATAGTATTTGTTTTGTATAATCATTTTCCTAAATGCTCTGTTTCTTTGATACTAACCAATTTATAATTTTGGGTAAGGGATTGAATGGTTTTGCCCAATCAGTCCTCTGTCCTATAGGTTAAAATTATTACATGATTATATATATCTTTGCCAGCAATGTGGCCAACAAGAAAAAAGTTATAAATTGGTTTGGATTTTGTTTGGTATGTTATATATAAATTAATCATTTTCCCAAATTTTCTGTTTGTAAATTTTTATTTGACCAATTGAATTTGTTACTTTTTAAATGGGGGTTCCTGTTCATATAACCCACCCTAGGTTAAAGGAGTGTAGCTCAATGAGAGTATGTATCTTACAAGTATAAATTCTCTGTTTCTCTAAATTTTTATTTGACCTATTGAATTTGTTACTTTTTAAATGGGGTAGGGTTGCTGGTGAGTAGGTGTGCCACCAACAAGACAGCAACCCAGGACTCAAAACTCTGAATTCAAGGAAAATCCAAAACAACAATCTAGGTTGCAACCCCTACATTGGAGAATTTTGAACCAGTTGCAGACACCAACTTTATTCTAGAGGGGTATAATACAAAGCAATCATCACACAAATGTCAATGATCAATGCTCATATGGCAACAGCCAGCCTGGTCTTAGGGGGAAGATAGGGAAAAGTTTTGTCCAAAGCCTTCCAACATGTGGGGAGCTTCAACTGTGGAGAACATTTCATGGTACTGAAGCGTGTGAAAGCACTTGACTGCATGTTTGTGACAGGAAAATTTTTAAATCTGACACCTGCAATCAACATCAGATTTATTATTCATAAGGAACCATAATTGATAATCAGGAAAAGTAATTTATTTTGTGAACCCCAGAGATCTGGGTAGACATGCATTATTAAAGTTTCATTTTTGCATGGCCTTGGTATTATTACTACTGGGTAATGCAATTGTTTGTTATGTCAATTATAACATCAGATGTATTGAATAATCATCATGAACATCATGAATATTTGGTGTATGAAGGCATTCACATGCAAGGAAATGATTAAATAGCTAAATCATGATTAATTATATTTAAAATATACAATAAAAAAATTGCAAGACTGCACCATTATGTCAATCAAGCTATCAAGCTGTTATGTTTGTGCATGATTTAAAATTCTTTTGTGCTAATTTAAGGTCCCATTTTTCTTTGTTTATATGTAATCTATTGGTTCTCTTTTTACTGGTCAAAATGATGCCAAATTGGGTAATGAGGTATCAGTAAATATCAGAATCTCATATAGTCTAAAGGCCTATTAGTAAATATTGAATGAAATTATCAGATATTCTTTTAAAATTAATCCTATTTTTTAATTAATTTAATAAACCAATAACTCTTTTATATTTTGTAACTAGTTAAGAAAGGAGTTTAGATCATTATATTTTAAGACTTTCTTAACAAAATAGTTGTAAAACATAAAAAAAAATAAAATTCAATCTTATCACTATTATTATATATTAATATGGCTTCCAGAAATATTCAAAGCTAATTCAAGTTCCTCTCTCGTCAATGTTACTCATTTAGCATGGTTAGTGCATAAATTCCTGATAATAATGGAGGAAGAAGTTTTTTATTAATAATAATATTACTAATGAAATCATTATTTTTTACAGATTGAAAAGTATCAAATCAACATACGCATTTTCAAACAATTCAACAAGATGTGCTTCAGCAGCTAATTAAAAAAAAATACAATACAATTATTAAGGTGTGCAACATTCTAAGGAAAATCAAAACTAATTAATTTGTTAATCAACTGATATCAAATACCCCAATAAATTATTATATATACATATATATAAATTCACAAACTCATATATATATAGCGCTGAAATAAAGTATTAAATTCTTGATTATTTTAATAAATTGATAAGGTCCTCACCAGTTGTTGATTAAACGACTTAAAGAATCCCGGTTATAAAAATTAACCACTTGGATAAATGCAAATGTTTTGTCATTGTAACAAGACCCACTGCACAATTCAAATGAACTGGTGGGTATTCTACTATGTTGTGGAACTTTATACAATACCTAACCACGTGTTCATCAAAGTTAATGCCATCCAACAATTAGTAAAATATGCTTCTTTTAAGAAAGGAAATCTTTTGACACCAAAATCTTATAAATATATCAATTAGAATTTGAGATAAAGCCATGTAACAAGATAAAATTTTGGTCAAATTTACCTCATTAACAAGGGTTACACGTAATATATAAAAGTAAAAGGCAACGCTATCAAACTTTTTTTTTAACGCATATTTTAAAGATAATAAGAAACTAGGTGTTCTGACAAAAATTTATTCCCGTGGCTTTTAAAATGGGCCCAGAATGATAAATATAATTGGGGTTTTGTTCCAGGATACCAGTTCATTTGAATCTCTAATGTAACACGAAATAAATGATATTCTCTCAACGCGCTCCATATAAATCATGTATATACTCGTGTTTGTTTGTTTTTTTTTTTTTTTTTAAAAAAGCAATGAAAAAAATTCCAATTAAAGATACCCAAAGCTCTCCAAAAGGTACTGTACCTTTTAAAAAAGATAAAATTAACATTCATTCACATTATTTATTTATTTATTTATTTATTTATTTTTAAAAGATAATGACGATAAAATCGAAAAAATGCTAGACATTCGTTACAATATTAACAGCGTCGATGAGGATGAAGATGAAGATGAGGATGAGGATGAAGATGAAGATGAAAATGAAAATGAAAATGATTATAATAATGATAGTAAAATTGGTGAAATTAGTGATGATGGTGATAAAGATCACGATATTGATGTTGGTAGTGATGAAGATGATACTGATAAAATTGAAACCAGTTGTGAGGATGACGATAAGGGTAATAAAGATGAAGATGATAACAGCGATCAAAGTAAAAATAAATTTTTTTGCACAGTTCCAAATTGTGATAGATCATACAAGTCTATAAAAACATTTAACCGACACAGCAAAGTTCATGGTGAAAAAGGTTTCATATGTGAATATTCAGGATGCGACAAAGCATTTTATTTTAATAACGTTTTACAACAACATATAAAACATTATCATCTTGGAATAAAAAATTTTAAGTGTGAATACCCAGGATGTGCAAAAGCATTTTCTATAAAAGGTGGCTTACTGAGTCATACAAATCGTTGTCATCTTGTGGTGGGAAATCACAAGTGCGAATATCCAGAATGTGGACAAATATTTTCTCAAAAACAAGATCTACGAGTACACGAGAAGCGTCATCTTGGATTAAAAAATCACAAGTGTGAATATCCAGGATGCGGAAGATCATTTTTTCGAAATGTTGAATTACAAGATCATACGAAGCGTCATCTTGGATTAAAAGATCATAAATGCGAATATCCAGGATGTGCTTCATCATTTTGTAAAAAAAGTGAATTACTAAGACATACACAACATCATCTTAAAATAAAAAATCACAAATGTGAATATCCAGGATGTGATAAATCATTTTGTCAAAAATGTGAATTACAAGCACACATAAGACGTCATTTTCAAATAAGAGATTTCAAATGTGATTATCCAGGATGTGATTCATCATTTATTAAAAAAATTGAATTAGCAAGACACACAAAACATCATCTTAAAATAAAAAATTTCAAGTGTGAATATCCAGGATGTGAAAAATCATTTTGTCAAAAAAGTGATTTACAAATCCACACAAGACGTCATCTTGGAGTAAAGAATTTCAAGTGTGAATATCCAGGATGTGGAAAAGCATTTCATCGAAGAGATAGTTTGCTAGATCACACAAAACTTCATCTTGGAATAAGAGAATTTGAATGCGATATACCTGAGTGTAACAAAAATTTTATTACCAAATCTGGACTCAAGAAGCATAAATCTAAAGTTCATAAGACTTTAGTTGAATGATAATAATGATGAATTATCAAAATTCAAATTGTTGTATAGATGGTGTACAAATATCAATCAAGATTCAATAAACTAAATTTTTTTTTGATCTAATTTACAATATTTTATATTATGTTACGATAATTTCATAGAAGTGCTAAGGATTTAAAAATCATTATTCATCTTATGAATTCATCATATAATTAATTCACCGATCGTTGAGGTTTGGATTTTAAAATGTTACACGTAATATGTTTTTTTTCAATAATGGTTATACACCTATTTGATTTCTTATCACAAAAAGAATTATGAAATTTTAATAGCTAATTATTAATACTCTGAATTATAAAAATAATTTCTTCGTGACGATCCGCCTATAAAATTAGTATATCGAGTTTTTTTAAAAAACAGAATCAATCTGGATATCAGTAAGCGTTATTAGAGAGAAAAACAAAAACTCGTTTCAATGATGTTAGAAACCATTTAAATATCATTAAACTTTGTTTTTTTTTTTTTATTTACTTGGTGAAAATTGAGACCAGGTGTTGGAACTTGTTATTTTTTAACGAGAAGATATGAAACACTTTGGTAAGTTATTAGAAGATGAATATGAAAGTGAATTATCTGTTGAAGAGTTGAAGGAATGCAATATTATGAAATTACTTGGGAAACAATCATCACGGATAGAGCTAGAGATTTTGGAGCTGGGTCACTGTTTAATCAAATTCTTCCACTGTTTTTGTCTCAATAATTGGAAGATCAGGAATTTCATTTACTAGTTAAAGCAATTGATCATATTTTTTATTTGGTACATCCATATATGTCCATGAAATCCTTGCGGTCATCAAACCACTTTTGATTATTTTGCAAGATGTGATTCTTTTCTATTGAAATTTATATAAAGGGTAGTAATAAAATTATAAGTAGTTTAAATAAAGTTGCAGGATTATCAACCATGATTATCACAATGAGACCAAGCATGCAATTCTTCCATTGTCCTTTCATTTTCCTAAATTACCATCCTTTTAAAATTTAAATTTAAATTATAATGATTGCATAATTAATTTTAATTATATACTTTGAATTCGATCGATTTAGTATCAACATTATTTGGTAATATGCTTGCAACATTTTCTTGCCACGTATGAAATTGTTTTAATCGTAAAAAACATTATTATTAATATTAATATTATTATATAAAATTGATTTAAGCTTGTTGTTCCTTTTAAATATTCTGGCAGTAATTGTTGTAAAAGTCAAAAAAGATGAAAACATTATTATTTTGATTGTCTAGTTTATTTGAATCGCCAATTCACTTTAAAATATATATGGAAATATTACATTTAATCTCTTTGCAAAAAGTCAGATGATTGAAATTTGATAATAATAATAAAATTTGCCGTGTCGGACTTGTGAATTTAACGAGCTTTGACTGTACCAGCCTTTTTATTATCTGAATCTTTATCCATAATTAAATGTGATGATAGACAAAATAATAGAATCCTTTAGCACATTCAAACGTTTTAAGGAGTAGAAGGTACAGTTCTAACATCATTGATAGTTTTGTAGGTCTTTTCATAACTAAGATAATTTTATGCTGAAATAAGATATTCTATTTGCTTAGGTGAAGAAAAGAATGAAATCAATCTTTTACAACGCAAGATAAATCTTTGGATTTCTTTATTTAGTTTAAATGCAGATAATTGTAGAATATATGTACAAGGAATTCTGAAAATATTTATTTACTTTTCCAAATTTTTATGGTGTCAAATAAAATATCACAATTTTTTCCTGTGTGAGGGTAATTTATTTGTTTGATGCCTCTTTAAATCTAAACTTTTGAAATCCCAATGCAAGTCAACAGTCAAACTTTCAGTAAAAACATTTGAATTGATTAAATTTTGTAGTTGTTGATGAGTATACTGTTGACTAGCATTGGTCACCAAAACTATTTTGATGAGGTAAAAGTCAAAACTAAAATTAAAAGTTATATGTCAAAACTAAATCAAAAGTCAAAACTAGTTTCGACTTATGGCAAAGCCTTCAGACTTTCGCACAGTGCAAAAATCCATAGTTTCGGAAACCAACTCTACTGTTGACCCAATTCGGGCAAATTTTCTATTATTGATTCACAAGGGCTTCATAATTAGGATTTAATGCAGATAGAAACTTTTTAAGTGAACCTACTTTTAATTATTTTGGTTGATTGCGAAACTTTTGAAATAAACTCGACAAATAGTTGATTTATAAAGTTTCACTCTTTATTAGCCAAAGTTCTAGTTTTAGGAAATAAAGAAGTAATTTGTGTTTGATTTGAAGATTTTAGCTAAAATAAAAATAAATAAAGGATTTATTTAATTAACTAAAAAAAAAGTAACTTATATAAATAAAGTTTGAAAACATACTTTTTCTTCGGCATTTGGTGATGAAATTTATGCTTTATTGTTAAGTGTCGAATTCTGTTTGTTGTATATAGTGATTACTTTTATGGATCCATAACTTAACACTACTATTATTCTTTTTCTCAAAATTTGATTGGTAGGGTTGGAGCTTACATACGAATAATGATGCTTTTGACTTTAGTCATTGACGTAACTAAAGTATTGATTAGAGGTAGTTTCTCACCAGGACATTTCGACGGCTAACTAAAATAAAAGCCTTGACGTAATTAAAAACACTTGACGTAAGTAAAAACAAGTAAAACACTTGATACAAGCAAGCAATAATGATAATGATAAAATAGGATCATCAAAAGTTCCAAATTATATAAAAATGTGTGTCTCTCTCGAGGATGAATAAAGAATTATTATATCATTGTATGTAGATTGCAATGTTGCGAGAAGAATAATTATCATGGAAAGTTTATAAATGTTATAATTTGAATTAGAAATTTCATTTTTTTTATTTTTTTTCTGTGTATTTTTTTCAAAATAAAAATGGCTCTTCTTTTTTTATATTCTTATATTATTACATTTTGTAAAATGTAAATGTTTTTTTGAATTTTTGACTTTGAAGTTAGCTACGCATAATAGTAATACGCAATAATATTAATAATGTGCTTGTGTCTTTAGTTTCTGAGTGTGAAGAAACATAGGTTGATGGATATTGGTACTTAGAACGATCTTTACATAACACATAAGACAGGTTTTGGTACATATTTTTGTAAGTTTTAAACCTTCAAAGAATGCTAGATCAAAAAGAGCGTTAAAAAAGCGCGAACCTAAAGTTGAAGAAAATGTCAAGAAAGCAATGTTTTTAAAAACTATCCAAACAAGTCAAACAGTTAGAGATGCTTTAAAAGATCTTGTAAGTCTCGTTGTCAATTAATTATAATAATGAAATTTTATATCTTTTCAACTATATTAATCTCATGTTAATGTAAATTGAAGTACTGTCTTAAAAAACCAGATGGAATAAATTTTTCAAAGAAAAATCACATACTTCCATTTGAGGATGAGACATCATTAGAATTTTTTTCTCAGAAAAATGATTGTTCATTGTTTGTGGTTGGATCACATACCAAGAAACGACCCGACAATTTAGTATTTGTTAGGATGTATGATGGACAAGTTTTAGATATGGTTGAAGTTGGAATAGAGAATGCAATTCCAATGAGTAGTTTCAAGGTTCTTGACTAATTTAATATTTTCATATGACACATTTATATTTATATTATATTTTGCATACACTTGCTTATTTTATTATTGTTTCCAATAATATATATACATATATATACGTATATATATATGAAATAGACATCCAAGTGCGCAATAGGAATGAAACCCTTATTTATATTTAATGGAGATTTATTTGATACATCAACTACACATCAAACATTTAAAAATATGTTATTGGATTTCTTTCGAGGACAAAAATCAGATTCCATAGCTTTATCAGGTTTAGATCATATAATATCAGTTTCAGCGGTTGAAACGACCACCAATGATGGAAAAGTTGGAAAAATATATTTTAGAGTTTATAAGATTCATACTGAAAAATCAGGACAAAAAATTCCTAGAGTAGAATTGGAAGAAATGGGACCTAGTTATGATTTTGTGATCAGAAGAACTAAATTTGCTAAAGAGGAAGTTTATAAAGCGGCGATGAGGATGAAGATGAAGATGAGGATGAGGATGAAGATGAAGATGAAAATGAAAATGAAAATGATTATAATAATGATAGTAAAATTGGTGAAATTAGTGATGATGGTGATAAAGATCACGATATTGATGTTGGTAGTGATGAAGATGATACTGATAAAATTGAAACCAGTTGTGAGGATGACGATAAGGGTAATAAAGATGAAGATGATAACAGCGATCAAAGTAAAAATAAATTTTTTTGCACAGTTCCAAATTGTGATAGATCATACAAGTCTATAAAAACATTTAACCGACACAGCAAAGTTCATGGTGAAAAAGGTTTCATATGTGAATATTCAGGATGCGACAAAGCATTTTATTTTAATAACGTTTTACAACAACATATAAAACATTATCATCTTGGAATAAAAAATTTTAAGTGTGAATACCCAGGATGTGCAAAAGCATTTTCTATAAAAGGTGGCTTACTGAGTCATACAAATCGTTGTCATCTTGTGGTGGGAAATCACAAGTGCGAATATCCAGAATGTGGACAAATATTTTCTCAAAAACAAGATCTACGAGTACACGAGAAGCGTCATCTTGGATTAAAAAATCACAAGTGTGAATATCCAGGATGCGGAAGATCATTTTTTCGAAATGTTGAATTACAAGATCATACGAAGCGTCATCTTGGATTAAAAGATCATAAATGCGAATATCCAGGATGTGCTTCATCATTTTGTAAAAAAAGTGAATTACTAAGACATACACAACATCATCTTAAAATAAAAAATCACAAATGTGAATATCCAGGATGTGATAAATCATTTTGTCAAAAATGTGAATTACAAGCACACATAAGACGTCATTTTCAAATAAGAGATTTCAAATGTGATTATCCAGGATGTGATTCATCATTTATTAAAAAAATTGAATTAGCAAGACACACAAAACATCATCTTAAAATAAAAAATTTCAAGTGTGAATATCCAGGATGTGAAAAATCATTTTGTCAAAAAAGTGATTTACAAATCCACACAAGACGTCATCTTGGAGTAAAGAATTTCAAGTGTGAATATCCAGGATGTGGAAAAGCATTTCATCGAAGAGATAGTTTGCTAGATCACACAAAACTTCATCTTGGAATAAGAGAATTTGAATGCGATATACCTGAGTGTAACAAAAATTTTATTACCAAATCTGGACTCAAGAAGCATAAATCTAAAGTTCATAAGACTTTAGTTGAATGATAATAATGATGAATTATCAAAATTCAAATTGTTGTATAGATGGTGTACAAATATCAATCAAGATTCAATAAACTAAATTTTTTTTTGATCTAATTTACAATATTTTATATTATGTTACGATAATTTCATAGAAGTGCTAAGGATTTAAAAATCATTATTCATCTTATGAATTCATCATATAATTAATTCACCGATCGTTGAGGTTTGGATTTTAAAATGTTACACGTAATATGTTTTTTTTCAATAATGGTTATACACCTATTTGATTTCTTATCACAAAAAGAATTATGAAATTTTAATAGCTAATTATTAATACTCTGAATTATAAAAATAATTTCTTCGTGACGATCCGCCTATAAAATTAGTATATCGAGTTTTTTTAAAAAACAGAATCAATCTGGATATCAGTAAGCGTTATTAGAGAGAAAAACAAAAACTCGTTTCAATGATGTTAGAAACCATTTAAATATCATTAAACTTTGTTTTTTTTTTTTTATTTACTTGGTGAAAATTGAGACCAGGTGTTGGAACTTGTTATTTTTTAACGAGAAGATATGAAACACTTTGGTAAGTTATTAGAAGATGAATATGAAAGTGAATTATCTGTTGAAGAGTTGAAGGAATGCAATATTATGAAATTACTTGGGAAACAATCATCACGGATAGAGCTAGAGATTTTGGAGCTGGGTCACTGTTTAATCAAATTCTTCCACTGTTTTTGTCTCAATAATTGGAAGATCAGGAATTTCATTTACTAGTTAAAGCAATTGATCATATTTTTTATTTGGTACATCCATATATGTCCATGAAATCCTTGCGGTCATCAAACCACTTTTGATTATTTTGCAAGATGTGATTCTTTTCTATTGAAATTTATATAAAGGGTAGTAATAAAATTATAAGTAGTTTAAATAAAGTTGCAGGATTATCAACCATGATTATCACAATGAGACCAAGCATGCAATTCTTCCATTGTCCTTTCATTTTCCTAAATTACCATCCTTTTAAAATTTAAATTTAAATTATAATGATTGCATAATTAATTTTAATTATATACTTTGAATTCGATCGATTTAGTATCAACATTATTTGGTAATATGCTTGCAACATTTTCTTGCCACGTATGAAATTGTTTTAATCGTAAAAAACATTATTATTAATATTAATATTATTATATAAAATTGATTTAAGCTTGTTGTTCCTTTTAAATATTCTGGCAGTAATTGTTGTAAAAGTCAAAAAAGATGAAAACATTATTATTTTGATTGTCTAGTTTATTTGAATCGCCAATTCACTTTAAAATATATATGGAAATATTACATTTAATCTCTTTGCAAAAAGTCAGATGATTGAAATTTGATAATAATAATAAAATTTGCCGTGTCGGACTTGTGAATTTAACGAGCTTTGACTGTACCAGCCTTTTTATTATCTGAATCTTTATCCATAATTAAATGTGATGATAGACAAAATAATAGAATCCTTTAGCACATTCAAACGTTTTAAGGAGTAGAAGGTACAGTTCTAACATCATTGATAGTTTTGTAGGTCTTTTCATAACTAAGATAATTTTATGCTGAAATAAGATATTCTATTTGCTTAGGTGAAGAAAAGAATGAAATCAATCTTTTACAACGCAAGATAAATCTTTGGATTTCTTTATTTAGTTTAAATGCAGATAATTGTAGAATATATGTACAAGGAATTCTGAAAATATTTATTTACTTTTCCAAATTTTTATGGTGTCAAATAAAATATCACAATTTTTTCCTGTGTGAGGGTAATTTATTTGTTTGATGCCTCTTTAAATCTAAACTTTTGAAATCCCAATGCAAGTCAACAGTCAAACTTTCAGTAAAAACATTTGAATTGATTAAATTTTGTAGTTGTTGATGAGTATACTGTTGACTAGCATTGGTCACCAAAACTATTTTGATGAGGTAAAAGTCAAAACTAAAATTAAAAGTTATATGTCAAAACTAAATCAAAAGTCAAAACTAGTTTCGACTTATGGCAAAGCCTTCAGACTTTCGCACAGTGCAAAAATCCATAGTTTCGGAAACCAACTCTACTGTTGACCCAATTCGGGCAAATTTTCTATTATTGATTCACAAGGGCTTCATAATTAGGATTTAATGCAGATAGAAACTTTTTAAGTGAACCTACTTTTAATTATTTTGGTTGATTGCGAAACTTTTGAAATAAACTCGACAAATAGTTGATTTATAAAGTTTCACTCTTTATTAGCCAAAGTTCTAGTTTTAGGAAATAAAGAAGTAATTTGTGTTTGATTTGAAGATTTTAGCTAAAATAAAAATAAATAAAGGATTTATTTAATTAACTAAAAAAAAAGTAACTTATATAAATAAAGTTTGAAAACATACTTTTTCTTCGGCATTTGGTGATGAAATTTATGCTTTATTGTTAAGTGTCGAATTCTGTTTGTTGTATATAGTGATTACTTTTATGGATCCATAACTTAACACTACTATTATTCTTTTTCTCAAAATTTGATTGGTAGGGTTGGAGCTTACATACGAATAATGATGCTTTTGACTTTAGTCATTGACGTAACTAAAGTATTGATTAGAGGTAGTTTCTCACCAGGACATTTCGACGGCTAACTAAAATAAAAGCCTTGACGTAATTAAAAACACTTGACGTAAGTAAAAACAAGTAAAACACTTGATACAAGCAAGCAATAATGATAATGATAAAATAGGATCATCAAAAGTTCCAAATTATATAAAAATGTGTGTCTCTCTCGAGGATGAATAAAGAATTATTATATCATTGTATGTAGATTGCAATGTTGCGAGAAGAATAATTATCATGGAAAGTTTATAAATGTTATAATTTGAATTAGAAATTTCATTTTTTTTATTTTTTTTCTGTGTATTTTTTTCAAAATAAAAATGGCTCTTCTTTTTTTATATTCTTATATTATTACATTTTGTAAAATGTAAATGTTTTTTTGAATTTTTGACTTTGAAGTTAGCTACGCATAATAGTAATACGCAATAATATTAATAATGTGCTTGTGTCTTTAGTTTCTGAGTGTGAAGAAACATAGGTTGATGGATATTGGTACTTAGAACGATCTTTACATAACACATAAGACAGGTTTTGGTACATATTTTTGTAAGTTTTAAACCTTCAAAGAATTTTTTTTATTGCTGAATCTTCAAAAATTGTTGTACGAAAAAATTGTTTGTCACACTCATTCATTCTCCGCTCCACAAAGAAAAAGTTATTCATTTATTATTATTAAAAAAACATCACTTCGAATCTTATATTTTATATTTTTATATAATGTCATATAATAAACTATTATCATCATTATCAACAGAAAAAAGGAGATTTGTATTTAAAATCTATACTGAAATACTTAATAATGCTAATGGTGATTCTAATTCTGATAAAGTAGAAAAGATTATTTTTTTTCATTAGTCAACAAAAACAAGGAGCTTTCTGAAAATGAAAAAGAATATTGTAAAGAAAGGTTTATTTATGAGTTTGAATTAAATAGTGCAATATATAAATTGGGCAAACCAAAAGAATGTAACAAGTGTAAATTGACAAAATACTCTGATAGGTTCTGTGAAGGTTGTATTAGTTTACAA